GATTTGCCTTTTTATTGCCCATTCACGCAGTCTGGAGATGTCCTTCACAAGCTTCTTTTGTTTTAGCAACCCTGAACAAGTTAGTATCATCAGCAAACTTGACCACTTCACTGCTTGCCTCTAACTCTAGATCATTTATGAACAAGTTTAAATACTGAGACTTGAGAGACCCTTCACCTCTGACATCCCTCCCTACTAATTTGTTCCCTGATTTTCCTGTTACTTAACCCAGAGTTTTTCAACCTTTTTGAGTCCATGGCTTCCTTAACCAACTACAATCTTTCTCCGGCACCCCTATGGGGCTCAGGAGCCCAGTTATGTCACCCTCCCCTTGCAGAGTGTTCCCTCATCCTCCTCTCCCCTCTCCTTGGGAGTCCTCTGGGCAGCTGGTGCTGTCGTCCCTTGTCTCTGAGATTCACCCCCAAAGAGATATGCCACTCAGAGGCACCATTCACCTGAAGAGCTTATAGCAAGGGCTGCTGCAATAAACAGCTGTGCAAGCCTTTGGGGGGCAGAGACACAAGAGGGCATCCGAGGAGGGAGAGAAGGACAGAGGCCAGTGTTGCCTGCAACACCCCTGACCATCTTTCAAGGCACCCCAGGATGCCACCACACTGGTTGAAAACCACTGATTTAACCCATCATTGATCCACAAGAGGGCATCTCCTCTTATTCCATGACTGCTAAGCTTACGCAGGAGTCTTTGGTGAGATACAACTTAAGTCGTATGCATGTTTGCAGAACACACAGATTGCACATTGGGAAACTACTTAAATGAGTAAATTTTCTGGATAATTTAAAATCAGCCCACCCTAAGGCATACACTTAGGAAAAGACTTGACCAGAATCACAACAAAGCAAACCCAAAATACTCATGTTTTACAAGTCGAATTTAAAAATCTGGGGTAAAAAATATTTAGAATATGCAGTGTATTGTTGTTTTAAGTGAAAGATTTGTAACAAGATTCTGCTTTCTTTTCCCTACGGCATGTGGAACAGTAATAAAATCTGACATGCCCCGTAGCGTTTGATAACTTGCTACATTTATCACACACAAAAATCACACACTCAGAGACATGAAATAATCCTCCTTACTTTTAGCAATCATCACATAAGCTTTCTTGCAAGCCACTTTGACAGTTTAATTTTATGCTAATCCAGCCTCGCATGAGATTTATTAAAAGCAACAAGAAATTGACAGAAATTAAAGTATGCATTAAGAGAAGTTGGGAGGAGGGAAGAATTCCATTCTCACATATGAAAATGATTTACATGTTTTCAAATTTGGTATTAATCAGTTTTCAAAGCGCCAGATCGAGACCTTGAAGTCAAGTATAAAAGGTTTCTGCAAAAGCACTGTTTTCTGACTGGTGAGTCAGGGTGGTTATAGTATTATGGCACCACAGTTTTCCGTTTGCAGCTCCTGCTTAAGAAAAGAGAAACAAGAAAAGCACAGATTTTATTTACTTTTCGTAGATGCACCAAAGTGGAGATTTGAGCAAATGCAGCTTCTCTTACTCCTACGTGACAAGTTGCACCAGTCCAAATTCCCTCTTGGATGCAACTATTAAAAGGCACAGGAGCCATATCCTCCCTCGCATCCAAGTCACTCAAGAAGCAGCAGGAGAAACATGGCCAATATAAAGTGAAAGTATACTAAAGAGAAGTGGCTCCCATGTTGAATGCAAGGTTAAAATACAGGTCTTGGAGGTGGAAAAGAGGTTGAGGATTGTGTTTTCTTAAACCTCTTTCCTCTTGTTATTTGTTATTTCTGTCTATGTATAAGAGATACTGGACCAATTCAAAAACGCTCTACCAAGATCAGCACAGCTGTAATCCTGAAAACAGCATACAAGAGATCCACAGTCCGCAGTTTGGCAGCTGCCTATAACTTTTCCTACATACATAAATGGCAATTGATTGACTGACAGGAAATCGAGCAAGGATCTTTGCAGCTCATAGTCTATTTTAATTGGTTACAGAGACATAGTGCTAATTGGCGTTGTGTTTTTAAATAAAAAAATAAGCTTCCTAAGCCCCTTGCTTATAGAAACTGCAGGCAAGTCTGCATTACTAGAAGATGGAGCTATTTTCTAAACGAGACGCAAGACCTCATAAAACACTCAGAGATAGATAGATATAGATATAATAGATAGATAGATATGAGAATAGATAGTGATAGACTTAGATAGGTAGTAGATGATTAGTAGATTGATAGATGATAGAATGATAGAAATAATAAGATAGATTAGAAAGATGATTAGCCTAGATGTAGATAGATATTTAGGAAGTCGATAGAGTAGTATTGAATGATTAGATAGATGATAGGCTAGATGATATGATAGATAATACATAGGAAGATAGATAATATACTGATGAAGATAGATAGATAGATAGATAGATAGATAGATAGATAGATAGATAGATAGATAGATAGATAGATAGATAGATAGATAGATAGATGATAGATGGATGATAGATAGATATCTCTTTCTCTCTCAGACACAGGTGCATGTGAGCGCGCACACGCACACACAACATATTATTCCAAATCTCCTAACCATGGGACAGTTACATCAGCACCATGCTTCAAGTTGTCCTCCCCTGCCTCAACTATTATTCTCACAACCTTTGTTCCATCATTTAACCTTACTGCTGCAATTTAATAAAATGAATTCTTGGTATAAAAGTATGGAGATTTTAGTTTTTCAAATCTTACTAAAAGGGCAAAGATTAAGAGTCGTCACAATTCCTTTCACTTTGATTCTGCAGACATGACTGTTAAACAGGGAAGTATTTTGTAATTATTCACTGCTGCTTAATAGAGAAGGTAAAAAAGGACTAGAAAGATGCTGTTTGCTATTCCTTCTAGGTACAAGCACAGCAGTGCAATATGGAGAGGGCTTCCAGTACCCTCCAATTTTGCTCATTGCTTTCCCTTGCACCAGACTCTTACTAGGAATCACCACAGACACTAGCAGAGCTGTATGATGTAAAGTAGCTCCCCAATATAGAACAGAAAAGGCTGCAATTGGGTAAACCTGCCTGCAGACGTCAAGCCTTGCCATAGCCTGGGCAAAATTCCTTCTGCAAAGACCCTGGAGCAGGGACACAGAGCTCAGGCACCAGGCAACAAGGAAGCCAGAAGCACCCAGTTGTTGACCAATATTTATACAAGAAAAGGGGAAAAGGACATTGTTCTTAATTACCCATGATGTGGGACAGGATATTTAAGCGGCTGAACTATTACAAAATGCTTGCTAAGAGAGGAGAAACAGATGATTTGCACACTCTGGTCCCAAGTACAATTGTCAAATCTCCCTAAGTATGAACGTTTTGTGACACTTCCAACTACTGAGGGAGAAGTGAAGTACGGTAATTAGTAGTGAACAGTGTCTTGTTCTAGTGCACAGGCCAAAGGAAGAGTTGGGTGGGGGGGTTTAGATATCTTCCTCCAGTGACTCATTTGGGACTGCAGGGGTTACCTAGCACTCAGGAAATGGAAGATCATTTTTTATTTCCCATCACATCATTCAAATTCCTTCTTGCTTCAACATTCCACTGTGCAGAGTTCATACACTTAAGCCACTGAGACTGCAGGCCCTTATAAACAGATGTTTGTCTTCTGCAACATCACTTTGAAAAAGTTCTTACAAGTGATTACAATAACAACTCGGGACATTTGCCAAAGGCACAGAATGCAGAATCCTTGCTAAAGCTGGGGTTTGAATGGGAGACAGCTCCTTAGAGCAGCTATGAATCACCTTCAGATTTGCGGGATTTTGTTTTTTATTAGAACTGAAGGTCCACCAACAAGAACAGAGTGCAAAAGCTAGATTCTGCAGCAGGATGCAAAATAATGATGCAAGGGGTTTGGCTAATTACCTGTTATAACCCATGAGATACACACTGGGATAAACTGCAGAAACCTGCAGTTGAATTGCTACAGACCAGTGATTCTACAAGAATTCATAACTGACCAGAAGGGCTGCACAAAGGCCTAGACAAATGCAATCAGTTAGTAATTTTAGAATGTATTTTAATTGACTGTGTGATTTTATGTACACTGTGCTATTTTTACTTGTTGTTAGCCACTCTGAGCCCGGCTTTGGCCGGGGAGGGTGGAATATAAATAATTTTATTATTGTTATTAACCCTATATAACAAGTAAGGAACACAGAAGTTGAGAAATAACATAACAAAACTGATTTATTTTTATTTTTTACTTTGTATTATTGAGTAATAAAGTGACACCTTTACAATCTACTGCAAATGGTTTTGATATCCAACAGCAACATGTGCTCTACCTTCTGCCTGCCCTGACCTGGTGGAAAGAATGCATATAGGTAAGATAAAATATACTCATAGAAGAGGATCTTTTCCTTCTATAGTTACTTTTGTCATTCCTCCACCAATAGCTTAATAATACTTATACAGAAACACTAAGAAATATGAGCAAAATGTCCATGCCCTGCAGTGCAACCAAAAGTTAACTATTCTACAGTGTTATTGCTCACTAAAACCATCCATGTTAGCAACCAAATGTACATGAACATTATTTCAGTTTCAACCTTAAAATCAAAATTCAGTAAGTCTACTCAGCAAAAAACAAAAACGACCCATTGGCTGCTTAAACCCAGCCACAGAAGACATCTCATCCAGATAAAAATATTTTAAACTGTTTTAAAGATGTATGGATTTATATATTATTACAGCTGCATGTTAATGATATCACCAAGCAACATGCTGAAACCTCCCAGAAATTATTAAAATGGCTATTGCACTTAAAATCATGTTTTATCTTTGTAAGTCAATGGTAATTAAATAAAGTTATGATCTATCCTAACAAATTTTACTTGAATGAAGTCCTGTTTATTTTTAAAGAAAGTGACCTGGAAACAGATGTCTTTTAAGGACTGAATTGCAGTGTGCCATTTTCTCAAACTTCCACCACACAAACAGCAACAAACCATAGCTTGCATTCTGATATGATAGTTTACCCTTTTTTAAGTTTGCTTTTCTTCTCCCGTTGCGAGTGTTGCTTACAGCTTTGGTCCTCATTGAGCAAGATCCTTTGTTTTCAGATCACCACATAGTGTAACAATGCAAGGCCAGTTCCGTTCATGCAACTTGAAAATCCGAAGCAAGAAGGATGAAGATACATTCCTTTGCTTTGCTGCAAATGATGGTTTCAGATAAGCCAGCCAGTTTGAATTCTCATCTTTTCACATTTGAACACCAAGCCCAATGCAGTCAACTTTACAGGCTACAGATTTTCAAAACAATGGTACTGTTTGTTGAAAGCAAAGTGTCTTTCAGGAGACATGCAAGTATTCTCCACTCCAGCCTACACTCCCAGCATTCCACTCCAGAAGAAACAAGAAGATGTCAATAAACTGTTTCACACAAAGACAGATGAAGCATATCAAGGACAGCAGTGTTTGCAGCAGAGAATACCAACTGGCATTTTCCTTGGCTACAGAGTATTTTAGTTGAAATTGTTAAACATCAACACAGATCAGAATGTTCCTGTTCAAAGAGTGATGTTTGTTTGAAACAAACTTAGCAAAGAGGAACCTATGAAATTACAACCCCGCTTTCTAGCTGTGTTTTAGCTGGAAGCCTCCAGACATTCCATACTGAGCACTGCTCTACAGCGATACCCTCCTGGTTTTCATTTCTATGGATTGCAATCGTTTGTCTCTCTTGAAACATGCAAAGCACTAGCCTCCTTAGGTGTTAACCTAAATTACATGTCAATGCACCAAGAGGCTTCCTTATAGTACCACAGGGCCAATACTGAGAAATGAAGCAAAGAACCACTGTGTTTTTATAGACATATAAAACCACACGCACAGGAGCAGACAATAAAAATGGTCCAGACATTCAGCAACGAACAAAAGCAGGAGGCGCTGACATAATGCAGCAACAGTGGTAGGAGCTGCAATTCGCTTGCCTTCCCAAACAGAGCAGCATTGTCCCTGGTGGTTATGTAAGTGGTCCATAAAACATAGGCTGGGTGTCTGGATTCAAACTCTGGTGGTCAACCAAGTGACCATTTTTGAAGTATAATGTCAGTTATAGTAAGGTAGCAATTAAGGACAGCTCGCTAAACCAGTCAAGAACAACAATGGCAAGTCTGCTATTTATCACATATATACTGAGTAAAAAAAAGTCACATGTCAATGATAACCAAGAAAAAGATTACTATATCAGGGTGGTTATTCTATTCATTACAATATCAACTGGTGAGCATGGTTTAAATCCAGCTGCTTTGGTTGCCCACACCAGTTCCCAGCAGGAGAACTGGAATGAGCAGCCAACACAGAATCAAACCCCACACTACCACCCATCCATCTGCCAAGATCACTCCCATAAGAGTACTATCACCTGACTGACAGGTGTGTGTGTGTGTGTGTGTGTGTGTGTGTGTGTGTGTGTGTGTTTTTAAAAGCGGTCAGGATTGTCCCACACCACAGACAACAGACTCCCCAAGTTCTAACCTAAAATAAACTGGCTTAAAAAACAACAACACCTGAGATGTTTCAACTGTAACCCCTTGCTGACTATCCTGGGACATTTGCAGGCTAGATAACTCCACCATTGTTCATCTGATAATTCAAACTAGAATGAACAAGTGGCTTAGGAAAAGCCTGATCTTGAGAGGGAGATGCCAACTCCTGGCAATTTATTTCCATCACTGAATGCCCACTTGAATACAAAAGCAATATCAGAATATAAAATTTAGTTCCCTATGCTATTATAACTGATAGCACAGACCAGCCCACATTCCTGCCAGCATACAAATGGGTTAACTTTAAATCAAACAAGAACTCACTTGGCTCCAGTGCACATTTGTCTCCTTATTTCCTGTTTCCAAGTTCGTGTTTAAACATCTACGAGATCACCTCTCTCCATCTTCCCCCCTCTACATTTATATAATAAACAAGCTAGGAACTTTGTTAACCCACCTATGTTCCTCTTTAGCTATTTTCCATGGCTTTTAAGGACACAGCAAATATCATACCAGTGACATAATCATAATAATGATGTGATTGCTCTTTATAAAGGTAAAGGTACCCCTGCCCATACGGGCCAGTCTTGACAGACTCTAGGGTTGTGCGCCCATCTCACTCAAGAGGCCGGGGGCCAGCGCTGTCCGCAGACACTTCCGGGTCACGTGGCCAGCGTGACATCGCTGCTCTGGCGAGCCAGAGCCGCACACGGAAACGCCGTTTACCTTCCCGCCAGAGCGGTCCCTATTTATCTACTTGCACCCGGGAGTGCTTTCGAACTGCTAGGTTGGCAGGCGCTGGGACCGAGCGACAGGAGCTACTACACACTCAATACTCATTAATTTAAATTAAAATTACTGTTTAATTTTACAAGGAAAGAAATAAAATTGTTGGAATATGCATGGTAGTTTCTTGCCCAAAAGAATGTGCTACATTTTCTTTGGGGAAGAAATTAGATCTGAATAAGACCACTACTTTCCACACAAAGATCATGTACTCCTCCTCCAACACAGTTGCTGCTTCTTCATCACCCCAGACAGCCCCGGCCGACCCTTTTCCTCGCTTCCCCAGCAACACAACTGAAGGCCTCATTTTAGGGGTTCTGAATAGAGAGTATCACTTTGCTTACTACCTTAACCCATCAGCTATTCCTGGCTTCTTTTATGTTGAAGGGGGAAGAGATCACAGGTAGTCATCAGAAAGAACATATTCAAAGGCCCTTGCCAGATGAGAGAGCAAACCTAAGCTGGAAGTTTTTCTCCACCACTCACAGTGCTAGAAATCAGGGTCATTCAACGAAGATGGATGTTGGAAGATTTCAGGACAGACAAAAGAAAGTATTCCCACACTTTTAAACTATGTACACAGTTAAACTATGGAGTTCGCTCCCACAAGAGGCAGTGACGGCCACTAACTTGGGTGTCTTTAAACAGAGTTTACACAAATGCATGGAAAGTAAGGTTATCAATAGTCCTGGTGGCTGTGCGCTACCAACAGTATTGAATAAAGTGTGCCTCTGGATACCATTTGCTAGGAAGGACAAGTTCTGCTGGGCTCAGCTTCTGCTACTGGGCTCCCCATAAGCAACTGTTTGGCCACTGTGGGATTAGGATGCTGGACTAGATGAACCTTTGATGTCATCCAGCAGAGCTCTTATTATATTATTATGGAAAGCTTTTATAGGGATCCTGTAGTATCACATGATCCACACTGACCTGTTGTCAGTCAGTGGTTTCCTTCCTGTCTAGTCTTCCTGCAGTTCTAACCTTCAGCCAGAACTGGCTATTGATACCCAGGTTGTATTACTCCCTGACCAGTCTCTGCTTCAAGAGCTGTCATATAGACTTGTAACAACAACAACAACAATTTCATTATTTATACCCCTCCCATCTAGCTGTGTTTCCCCAGCCACTTTGGGCAGCTTCCAGCAGAATATAAAACAATACCAAACAGTGCTAGACCTAGCATGGAGAAGGCAGTGAGAAGGACAATACATTTTATTATTATTTGTAAAACTGTTTTGTCAATGACTTATTATTATGAGTCACATGCTGGGTCCACAACTTAAGCCAACTGAAAACAATGCTAAATATAAAAGTGTGTGAAGATACTGTAGGAATGTCAAAGATAATCAGGCAGGGTGGGGTAGGTGAAGGGAAGGTGAAGCTGTGTATATAAACAAGGAAAGGCGAGAGATTTAGATCTGCCTGCAGGGAAGAAACTCACTTCCATGCAGAATCAAATTCCACTAGAGCAGCAAGTTGACAGCTCTAAGATTTCCTGGGAGATTCTGCATATTGGATTGGTGCGAGAGAGATACACAGTGTCTGCAGGACAATTTAATAATGCTGTTATAGCAAAATGTCACCAAAGCAGTCAGTGCATATTGTCACTGACAATGTTGTCACTGCTGAAAAACGTTTTTGTAACTTTAGATGCTTTGAAAAGCTGATGTGAATTTAAATCCATTTTAAAATTTAGCTTCTTGCGTGTCTTAATGCTTTGCATATTTCCCCCCTAAATTTAGGGTTTTATCTTTTTGTAAACCATTTTGAGGGTTTTTACAATCAAGCATAAATTTTATGAAATAAAATAAATAAATAGATGGCCTCCAGGCATACATGGCGGTGGGGTGAGAGAGGAAAACAGATGCAAACTTTATGGTTCTTTCATGTTCAAGTGGCATCACACTATCATGACATCTGAGCAGAAAGGAACAGAATCAAGGTGTGGTACTTCCTGTGCAACCCTCTTTGGACGCTGCAATTCTATAACAGCTACAGTCATTCCAGGACAGTGAGTGACCCCCTGTGTTGGTAACCTCAGGGCTACATTACTGTAATGTGCTCCATGTGGGTCTGCCCTTATCAAAGCTGGTTTAGAAGCTGCAACTAGTGCAGAATGCAGCTTCTAGATTGCCTACTGCAATCATATTTTACTACTTCTGCAGGACCCGGACGGCTGCCAATTTGCTGCTCATCCAAATTTAAGTTGTTTGTGCTGACAAATAAAGCTCTTTATCAGAGTGAATGCCTGCTCCAATACTGACCAGCTTATTTACCAAGGTCATCCAAGGAGACTCTTTGGGTGGTGCCACAGTATGCAGCAATCCTGAGAGAGGGTCTTTTCTATGGGGGTGACTGCACAACAGAACCTCCTCCTGCATTCTGAAATAAGGTAGGTGCTGGCTGTGATGAGCCTTCAACACCTGCATAATACCTAGCAAGGAAAGGGTCTCTGAGAGTCATTGCAGAGTAGACCAGAACCCAAACCCTTTCTCATACTTCCAACAAAGCATCCCAGACCCTAGAAAGGCTTCCAGACAGAAACATGTACAGCCTTGCAGCTCCTGGCTTGTATCCATGTTAGTCTACGAAACGAGGAGTGTATTGATGAAAGTGAAGGACCACAGAGACAGAATGGAAAGTCTCAAGCAAAATCACCTAGGTGCCACAATTCTATAAGACGCTGCTGTAACAGAGGGCAGATGAGTCTGATGTGCCAAAAGCAGTCCTATATGTATATCAAAATGCAGAAAGGGAAAAAGAAATTCAGATACAGCCCTTGGAGCACACTCCAGCAACAAGGACAAAAACAAAAACTTGGCCTAGGTGTGATACTGGATTCGTCACTGCCTCTGGACCAGTTTGGCTTGTGTGACAACCCCTTAACCAGCTTATCCCACAATGGAGATTAGGTCATCCTTCCCTCTGTTTCACTCCCACCTCTCCTCCCAAATGGGCGTAGTCTGAATTCACCCACATTACAAGTTCATTCTTTTCTGCCAAGCGTACAAATAAACGAATGG